AAGAGCTTCAAGCACATTTAAAGAACTTCAAGCACATTTAAAAGGCTTCAAGGCACTTTTCAAGGCTCCCCAAGCACTTTTGATGTGCTTCAAGCACTTTTCAAATCACTTTGAGGGCTTTGTGCTTGCCAAGCCCAAAGCACTTTGAGGGCTTTGTGCTTGTGAAGCACTTTTGAAAATAAAAAGGAATTTGTGCTTGAAATGTAAAGCACTTTGATAAAGGGCTTAGGGCTTAGTGCTTCAAGCCCTTTTACTGAGGGCTTTGCCCAGTTCTGATTTGAACCAATCAGATTGTAATTACGCGATAATTTGCACTAGTGCAAATTATCAGATAATTGCATACTAACTGGTGCGAAACCTGGTGTTTGGACATTTTTTGACAAAAAAATTAAATTTTTGATTTATGAAATTCTCTCATTAAATACAACTCGTGCAATGGAAATATATTTATAATTTTCGACAAATTTGCACTCATGCGTTTTTAACTGAAAAAGGCACTCGTGCACTACGTGCACTCGTGCTCTTTTTCAACTAAAAATGCATTCGGGCAAATTTCCCAAAAATTATCAATAATTTCCATTGCACTCGTTATATTACTATTGATAATTTTTTCATATTAGAAACACAGGTATATATACTGATTTAGACATTTTAAACTTTCATTGTATATTATACGATATAGTATTTATCACTCGTATATTCAGCCAGAAATTGGGATGTGAACTTCATCCATAGGAAGTCGTCTACATTAAGAAATATGTCCATCCTTTCAGGTTGAACATAAGCTTTATCTATTTACTAATTTTATGTATGTCACAAAATTGCCCTGGAAACAGGGCCGATCGAAATCGGAAAGTTACTCTGTTTTGTTTATTGTTGAAAAAAATATGTTAAACTGATAAATCGTAAGCGTATTTACGTAGATATCCCGACAAAAAGGTGGTACCTAAGCAATTGGAAATTCTTACGAATTTTTCTGAGGAGGTTTCAAACCCAGCTTGCCAAGCGGCTTTTGTAGCGAGCGAGGTACCTATATGTGTTTCCATCTATCGGTAGAAAAATTTGGCTTCGCGCACAGAATTTAAAATGTTTGCCTAATTTGAATTAAATTTCACAATGTCACAAAGTTTCTCCCTTATCACAAAGTATCCCCGTTCCAATTTTCAGCCTTCAATACAATTTAAATAAAATCCTTGAATAATTTGAATTCCTTTTAAGTGGATACTTGAAGTACTTCTTATTATTTCAAATACACCATGGGTATTTCAAATATTTGAAATACTATTTCCCAGTATTTGTGACAGCTCTGCCCGACAATAACTAAAAAGTCAAACATTGCGTCTGACGTATTCTTGTTAGTCTGGAAGTATTGATTAACAGTTAAAATGTTGTGTAGACTTAAAAATGATAAAACACGATGCTTAACCAGACATTCAACAAGTTTATTAGAAAAGCAGGAAAATTGGCCTGTAGTTTGAAGGGCAGTTGTGATCACCTCCGTTGTATAAAGGAATAATAATTTTAGCAGATTTAAAACAAGATGGAACGGATCCAGACAGAAAGGATATATTGATAACATTGGCAAAACTGAGACTGCGTTAAGGGGTAGCGACTCCAATATCTTGACAGAGATACCATCGTCATTTGCTGCTCTCTTGTTCTTTTCTAGGTTAATCGTTTGTCTAAGTTCGTGAGGGGTAGAGGTAGGTGGAATAAATATATTTAGAGATTCAGGAATGCTAATATCAAAAAGATAGGAGAGCGGATCTATTTGAGAGCTGAAGTATTTTGTTAGGATATTGCCTATATGCTTATGGAGCAATAATAACTAGGTATTAAGCAAATTTCTGTCTAAGCTGATCATTGATGTTGTTTGACTTTATTACTAATTTCGTTTACGATTGTCCATGATTCACGTTGCTGCTTTTTTATGAGAGTTTGTAGCGTTCAGAATAACTTTTGCCTTAAAAATGATCGTTCTATTGATTTTTCTGTATGTGTAGTAGAACGACTGAATCCATGAGTTGTCAGTGTAAGATTTTCTGGGGCTGTTCAGAAAACGTAGAATAGAATAGAAGCGGAAGTTGGGATTTCCAGTGTTAACCACTTTTTGTGGTCTTTGCGTTTCGGTCTTATCCTGTGCACAGGAAAGATAGGTAACATTAACAGTGTTTACCAAAGCTGAGGGAAAAGCCAGCAAAGGGTTTGCCCTCTGAAGAGTAGGATCCCAATTGAAAGTCACACAGGCAGCGCTAAAGTTGGCAAAATTGCGAAAGCTACAATTTCTTCCAAAGCTATAGTCTCAGATGATGTAAGGTAAGTGAGCGCATTGATTGATATCTTGGCGATAACAGCATTATGATCAAAAAGACCCGAGTCAAAGACATCACGAGAAACATTTCCATAAATGCTAGAGACGATGTAATCTATTCTAGTGGAAGAGGTTTGTGTTACCCTTCTAGGACTATGGACAAGCATATTGAGTTTAAAGGACTCAATCAAGTTTGTAAAGTTATCCTCAAAATTTATATAAGGATCTCCGCCAAGTACGATTTTTGAACGGTGGTCTCGGGAGTGTTTTGTGACTTGTCCAAGGCGTTTGATTGTGTGCATTACGATATACTGTTGTGGAAGCTTGAATGGTATGGTTTTGGGGCGCTGCTTTGAGATGGTTTCACTCCTACTTGTCGGGTAGATCGCATACCATGAGATTTCAGGATGGTGAGTCGAGTCAAAACGAATGAACATCAATGTTGGGATTCCCCAGGGCTCTGTATTGGGCTTTTTTTTCTCGTTTATGTCAACTGCCAAGTATACTTTTTTCGGTCGTATATTTTTGAGTACGATTCAGATGTGGAAAAATTGAACAATAACGCCAATGCAGATTTGAGGAGGGTAAAGGCCTGGTGTGACAGCAAGTTATTATCGTTCAATATTTCAAAAACCAGTGTTCTGAACTTAGGTTGCGAACTAGAGAATGTTTACCTGGATGATAATTTTGTAACTCTACAAAACCACAACAAATTCTTGAGCCTTAAAATTAATCTCTCAAGTTTGAAGATTACATTTCTAATTTCGTAAAAGGATTTCTTCGGGATGTTAATCCTTAAGAGTGATATCTGGGAGATTGTATGTCTCGGTTGCTAGGAATTCATACTACGCTTTGGTGGAGTCTCACCTACGTTATGGCATATATGCTTTAGGGAATAGGGATTCCCACTGAACATGCAATGTTACGAAAGCCTAATGCAATATTACTTTGATATGCTCTAATCTTAGTTTCGCAACATTACAATGTAATATTGAATTATTTTTGACACAACATTACGTTAATAAATTACAAAATGGAATATCCTTGAAATTTTAACGCATATTAGAAATTATAACTTGTACGCAAATTAACATTGTAAATATGCATTTAAATTGAACTGGTATAATTTTTGCAATGTTATAATAACTACCAAATGTAAACTTGCTGCAAAATTGGAAATATAACTTGTAGGTAAGGTTATATCGCAAAGATGCCTTAAAGTTGTGTTGATATTATTTTGCAATGTTATAATTTAATATTGAATGTAAACTTGCTGCAATATAGCAGACATAATATATTGGAAAATCGAAAGCTTTTTACTTTATAATATATATTATAGCTACATTACTTTCTTATTGCAGTAAAGTTGCGAACCCAATATATTTGTAATAAAAATGCAATATTGCAGTAAACTTACTAATAAATTGCAAGTAACCCTAAGGTATATTTGAATTTGTAACCTTACACTCGTAAGTTTGCTAAAGTTTTGATCTAATATTCCAGTAATATTGCTGAAAGGTTATCATTTATAAACCTTGCATTTGTAATATTACCCTAAGGTTGTTTCAGTACTTCCCGCAATACTGCGTCAACATTACAGTAAACTTCAATATAACCTTACAAGTTTGCAGTGTAATGTTACCTCATTATTACTGTAACCTTATTTTGTTCAGTGGGATTGGGTTGCGAGACTATTTGCAACCCTATTTTATAATGGAATTGACTTTTCATTACTTATAGAGACACGTTCCTGAATTCTTGTAGCCATGATAATGACAGGGAATATTATTCAAATGTAATTTTGATTGATTCTTGTACTTACTAGGTTTGTTCTGATTCCTATTGTTCCAATAATTATTACCGTCATTAGGTTTTTTAAGGCCAGTGGCGGCCAGTGGCAATCTAGTGTGGTTGTGCGCTCTTGGAAAATTTTTTGGAGGTGCCACGGTGCCACGTCCTGTTCTACATTTATTTTGTATGTTGAATTTTTTTATCTTTACTTTATGAAAAATTATCGAAAACAAAAATATATGTATTTAAATGGGGCTTGAATGTTTGTATTCTAGCCATAATACATAATTGATATTGAAATTTATAATTAAAAAAAAAACCGCGAACAACAGAGTTGTCAAACCGCCAAAATGGTGAAAAAACATCGAAATATTCTCGATTGAGTGGAAACAACATTGGAAGTGTGTATTCAAATAGCGCACGGCGCATCCCTTTCATCGGGCGACTTACCGTATATTCCCGATCAATCGCACAGCGAGAAAACACATTTACCCAGAGCGCCGAACGATTCCACACCGACCACCCGGACCACCAGCACAACCAAGCGGGAGAAAAAAATATACAAGACAGGCGCAGGGCGCGCTTTCGTTCCGTTCGTGCGAATTTAAAAATAGAAAAATGAGTAGATATTTATCCTAATTTAGAAAATTGGGTAGGTATTTTTTAATTGAAGTTTCTTTTCTTTCCAAAATTTTAATTTTATTTTCTTGCTTGGTTTTTGGAGGCAGTGCGCGCGCACGAGCGCACTTATTGAGAAGCCGCCCCTGTTTAAGGCTAACTTGAGGCAATTCTCTAGTATTATCCACTCTGATATTATTATTATTTGGGTATCTATTCTCCATAAAATTAGGCCCAGTAGATGATGTATCGTCTTCCACGAAAGCCTTATTATTATAACCATTACTACCACTATCATTGTACAAAGAAGGATCAAGCCATGGAACTGGCCTAAAAGAATAAATTTTTGTTAGAAATTTGTTTTTAGCATTAAAATTTCAATTACGCTGTCGCATAGGCATCAATTGGAGGTCTGTTTCGGTTACCAACATCCTTTTTGTACAACTTATGACAGTATTTGCCTAAAATTATGGCAAATACGACGTTTACAATCCATAATACGAATCCTCGAGCTGCCAGAGTTATTACTATACCAATAGCTGTAATTTCTGTCGTCTGTAAAGTTTTTAAAAATCAGAATAGGTAGAAGATAATGAAGAAATACTATATTCTAATATAGTTTTGATGACTATTTGAACATTTTTCTTTTGGATCTCTTTTGTAGTACCTATTTAGTGAGAATTAAAAACCTCAATGTTAAACTCACGTCAGCATTTCCTTTATTCTTATACTGATCATAATCATAGGATATCAAGCCAACAAGAATTAAATCAAGCAATGACACTAATCCAGTAATCAAAGTCCAGCCTCCAATAGCTTTTCCGTAAAAATTGTGTCCTTTCCCTGTGATTGAGGCTGAAAACCAAAAAATATATAAATATATAGTTTTTTTTTGTAGTTTGATGAACATCTTACCCCACAAAAGTACAGACGATATTAATAGCCAGCAAAGACTTAAAGCAAGGTGAATGTATAGAAAGTAGCTGAATTGGCTTGATCCTATAATACTTTCAGAATATTTGTCTAGGATCTCTTTACTTAAATAGAATGAATATATTGAATATCCTATGCCATTTGTTGAAGCAGTTGGAATTATTTCTGTGTAAAATAGTATACCAACAATACTACATAGAGTCCAACCAAGTCCTTGAATCTAAAAAAAAAGGATAACAGATTAAATTTTTGCTAATTGAAACAATCATTAATTAACTTACAATTCCTAGAACACCAGCAGTAGTGACCAAAGGAGTCATAAGACTTTTACGTTTCGGCACAGCAGATGCCATCATCAGTGAAAGTTTTTCTTTTTTAGAAAAATCACTGAGCTCACATATCCACCTTCACACCTCTGACTCACGTAAACTAATTATTATCACGATAAACACAGTCATATCAAAGCAATTTCGGATTTTGTTTGATAAAATATATGATGAGAAAACAATATAGAAAAGATAAAGGTGCTTCATTTTTAGATATTTTTGGTGATAATAAATAATACCCGACTAGATAAGAGACCTGGAGTAATAGGTAGGTAATTTTTCTTTTTTTAATTATTCCGATAGATGATGCAGTAATAATTGGTAAATAGGATTACTAATGATAAATCATTTTTATAGAGAAAATTCACAATTCCATTGTCCTTCTGTGTTATGGTCTATGACACCGACTTATGTTACATTGGCATATTCGGACATGCTACAAGAAATGAGAGAGACATGCTAATCAAGTTCTTAGAAAGAGCACATTCACCCTCTTACATTTTAATTTTTTTCTGGAAAACTGAGAAAGTGAAAATTTTGAAATTTTTCCAGGAGAAAGAGGAATGAGTGGAGTTCATTTTAACAAAATTTCAAAATTTTCCAATAGAAACTCACTCTTGGAAAAATTCTGGAAAAATTGACTTGTTTTTAAGCAAAAGTAAGGAAAATTCACCCTCTTAAATTTTAATTTTTTTGTGAAAAACTGGAAAAGGTAAAAATTTGAAATTTTTCCAGGAGAAAGAGAAAGGTGTAGAGCTTATATTAACAAAATTTCAAAATTTTCCAATGGAAAATCACTCTAGGAAAAATTCTGGAAAATTAACTTGTTTAAGCAAAAGTAGGGAAAATTCACCCTCTTAAATTTTAATTTTTTTCTGAAAAACTGGAAAAGGGAAAATTGTGAAATTTTTTCAGAAGAAAGGAAGGTGTGGAGCTCATTTTCACAAAATTTCAAATTTTTTTAATGGAAAATCACTCTATGAAAAATTCTGGAAAATTGACTTGTTTAAGCAAAATTAAGGAAAATTCATCCTCTTACATTTTAATTCTTTTCTGGAAAACTGGTGAAAGGAAATTTTTTAATTTTTTCAGGAGAAAGAGGAAGGTGAGTAGTTCATTTCAGCAAAATTTCAAAATTTTTTAGTGAAAATTACTTCAGGAAAAATTCTGGAAAATTGACTTTTTGAAGCAAAATTAAGGAAAATTCATCTTCTTATATTTTAAATTTTTTTTTTGGAAAACTGAAAAAGGAAAAATTTTGAAATTTTTCAAGGAGAAAGAGGAAAGTGAAGAGATCATTATAAGAAAACTTTAAAATTTTCTAGTGAAAAATCACTTCAGGAGAAATTCTGGAAAATTGACTTGTTTAGGCAAAAGTAAGGAAAATTCACTCTCTCACATTTCACGTTTTTTCAGGAAATTTGGCGAAGGGAGAATTATGAAATTTTCTGGAGAGAAAGAGGAAAATTAAGAGCTCATTATAGGTAAATTTCAAAATTTTCCAGTGGAAAATCATTCCAGGAAAAATTCTCACGAAAATATACAAAACTGTACGATTATTCAAAAACATAGGATTGAATTCATACTAACATGGAAAGGTTGAGGGGGTAATCAGAAACAGGATGAAGAATAGTTATTAGGCAGCAACAATAAATTGATGTTTGTTTAAATTGATTTGTTTTATTTTTCCTAATTACCTCAATTTTATTTTTCCTAATTAAACAATTTGAAGCAAATTTAATCAAATTTTCTTACATAAAAAGCAGAAAAATTTATATTTTGTAATTAATTTTAATTTCCAATAATCCTTAGTGAGACAATGCAAAGAAAATATAGAATACATTTTTATTTATATGATAAGAATTTTGGTGATAAGATAACTTCTTAGAATATGATTACCTATCTAAACTGATTCAAGCCTTGTCTTAATTTTTTTATGTTGAAAAATTAAATTATATGTATAAAGACATTTATTTCTGACCTTTATAACTGATATCAAGGCCTAAGTCTTAACATATTTTACAACTATAAGGTTTTCATAATGAAATGGAAATATTAGTAAAATACTAGAAAAGTATCTACCTTGAATCACACTTCAAAAGCGAATTTAAAAAAAATCCCATCGTTCTGATTCAAAAAATGTACCATTTCGATTGGTCCCAATAATTCATCTTCCCCAAATAAAACACAAAAAATCTGAGGTTCAAACCTGACACTTATATTACAAAAACATTTATCAATACTCCGAAATACAATAAACATTTTCCAAATAATCAATAGTCAAAGTTGTACTCGAAATAAGATGAATCAAAACTGTGAACCCTTACAAAACCGTCCTCACCACCTGAAGCATAAGATTTTCCATCAGGATGGAAACACACGCTGTTGATTGGCCCGAAATGGCCTTTAACACGAGCGAATTCCTCTTCGAACACCAAATGGAAGAATCTAGAGTCGAATTTTCCTGCTCTAGAGCTCGTAGTGGTTACTTCCATAGCTTCTTGACCTCCACCAAGCACTACATGTTCTGCAATGGGACTGATCGCAGCTGAATTAACAGGGCGTTCCGTTTTGTAGGTTTTTAGCAGCATAAGGGTTTCAGCATCGAATAGTTTCGCTGTGTGGTCCTTGGAAGCTGTTATAAACATGGTGCAATCCTTATTCCATTGCATGTCGTTGATTAGTTGATCGTGTTCTTTAATGCTGTTGATTTTTTTGCCAGTTTTCAAATCCCATTGGATGATTTCCCCATTTTCATGGCCAGTTATGAGGCTTTCGTCCAAATTGTCCCATAATATCGAAGAAACTCTTGAACCACTAATTGGGATTCTTAAGATGGGTTCTTGACGTGAAAAACTATCATCGATAGTCCTCACATCGATGATGAATATTTCACAAGGTTGCTTCATGGCTTTATCAGTTGTGTACACAGCCATGTTAGCTGAGTAGCTGAACATGCAAGTTCTTACTGAGGATGCAGTGGGAATATTTCCAGTTTCCTTGCCTGTTTCGCAATCCCATATTTTGCATGTGTTATCACCAGCGCCTGTCATGCATTTAGTGGTCGTCCAGTCTACGTCGATACACCAAATAGCCCCCTGATGTCCGTTGAAACTTCCCAATCTTTCTCCATTGAGGGAATACCAAACGTTGGGTTTGTTATCCTTGGAGGCAGAGAATAGCAAGTCGCCTTCGCGGTTGTATTTGATTTGGGTGATGGAACGTTCGTGTCCTTGTAATATTAGAGGTTTCTAGAACAAAAGAGACAATGGTTTACTGAAGACAAATGTGAGTTCATTTTTAAAGGGGTGAGAAAAATGAGGGAAAGTCGTAAATCTCACAATCCTTTATTTATAGTTAAGCTACTAGTTTAAGGATCTATGCATTACATCCCATCATCATTTAAAAACATTAAATAATCTATTGACTGAAAATCTGATCAGGAAATTGTCACTGAGCCGAACCATTTCTCCAAGACTCTATGGCTTAAGTACTAAAAATTCATAAATCAGATAACTTTGACGAAATACCTATTAGACCGGTCATTTCTGTTGAAAAAATGGGAAGAAATTGAGTGACTTGTAGGAATATCAGTATTTTCTCTATTCCATGATCTCTTTATTAAGAAAAATTTGAACAGCCGGGAATAGATGGAAATTGAGACGGAAAAAATTTAGTGAAGGGTTAAAGAATTAAGAAATGGAAAGGGAAATTTGAGGGAAAACTGGGAAGAAATTGGTTGATAAATAAAAAAACCCTTTTTGTATTTTCTCTATTCCAGGCGCTCGAATTCACTTTATTAAAATTCGATGAAGGCCTTCATCGAATCCATTATCAGGTATGGTATTATTGTTTGGGGAGGATTATACGATAACAGTCTACACAAACTAAACATTATACAGAAATACATACTTAAAATTATATTCAAAAAAGATAGATTATACCCATCACATTTACTTTTCAATGATGATATTTGTAGCGTAAGATCTATATATATATATATATATATTGACAGCATGCACTTTCATGCATAAAAACTCTGAACTGCAGCATTTTGTTGACCATAAGCATAACCAGGGTTGGACGAACTTTTGGAAGTGGGCCGGGAAATTTTAGTCTAGCAGCCCATACATTGATGGATTTATGGGGCACATCCACACACTTAGATGTGATCTTATAATATAATAAAAACAGTGATAAAACAATAAAATGCTGAATGAAGACGCAGAATGGAAAATTAAAAAGTAACTCTTATCTTTTTTTCTATTTCAAAGATGATTTAAAACAATCAAAATGATAATCATTTCTTTAATGGGGGGCCAAAGTTGAACATTTCCATGAGAATCTTCTTAAAAGTCAACAATCCTAAGATTGGCTAAGATGTCATTTTTTAGGTTCACTATCACCAACGCATCCAAATTTTTTATTGTAAGTCGATTCCTTGACCAATTTTTCAAGTCTTCAAGTGCTAAAATAAGGACATACCGGTAAAGGCCCTAAAGATGACTGCAATCACAGATGTATAATCTGTATTTACGAAACATTAAAACAGCAAACCAAACATTGTTAGCCAAGTGAATGTGATGAACACTTTTTTGGAAATTTCAAGTTCTAATTCATTCCATGTATGCAACCCTCTGTGTCATTCACATTATCTTTATCTCTATCATTGGATCCAGAGAGGTCATACAACTCCGTCCTTTTCGAGCCAGGTCATTTTCTTCCAAAATCCTTAAAGTCCGCAAAACAGCACCGACATCTCCTTTTTTTTTACGAGAACGATTTTTTTTTTTTTTAATTTTATTTATTTTCATCAATTTCCCCTTACAAAAATAATTACATAATAAGTAAGCACAATTAAATTACGTAAAATTTCTAGGCTTTCTAGGTTATGCTTCACAAATAAACAGAAAAAAGTGTTCTGCTGAAGTTCTAATCTAGGACTTGTAGGCAGAGTTATCCTTTCTTCCCCTCATTCAGCGATACAGAACCTAAACTCTAAATTTGAATACAGTTGTTCTTTTATTTATTACACAGAGGCATACATAAAACTTGTACCCACCAAAATTCAAATACAAAATAATATAAACAATAATACTCCGAGCTATATTATGTAATTAGAAACCAGAAGGAAAATAAATAAGAACATTTCTGCTGAAGTCCTGACGGACTTGTGCGCAGACTTTTCTTGCTATTCCATAAAGTTATGCAGACCGCATTTAAATGTTGAAACAAAATAGTACGTAGTCATAGGAAGTACTAGAAAACTCAAAACAATCTAAATTTGACCCTTAACATACCCATTTCCATAAATTTACAACAATAATTATAAGTATATAAATAATAAAAAAAATTGCGGGTAATGTGTCTTGAATCATTACATCTTTCATTTACTTGCAATCCAGTTTTTGCCCAATTGTCATATAGTAGAGATAACACCAACTAAGAAAAAGCCACCACTTGATCTTTTGTCTCACTTCAAATAGAAGTGCCCTAGAGAAAAGGAAATTTGCCTTCTTCCTCACTGATAACGTCAGGGGTTATTCTTAGTTGGTTCTAACTTTATGTCTTTCATGTTGCGTTGTTCCTTTTTCAGTGCGCCACAAGTTGATATGACCATTCCTTGTGCTTTCATAATATTGAGGCCGTCCGTTTGATCTCAGGCTTTGGTTTGAAGGTATCTTGATAATTCTGTTGTTCTAAAAGATTTCCCGGTATCCCGGTGAGTTCATCCAACCCAGAGCAAAAAATAGTTTACAACTACCAGTGAGCAACAACAATCTAAATCTAAAGTATATAAACTATTTAGGACCAAAAATTTACAATTTATTGCCTTTCCCCATAAGACAATGTGGAAATTTGAAATCTCATCAGAATCAGAACTCTAAGCAAAGAGACAGTTTTACGAAATCACCGTCAATTTGAAAGGTTGTTTGATTGAGGCCTAATTTGGGTGTAGGTTTAATTTAGGATTAAGTTAAATTAGGTTTGATTTGGCATTGGGGTTAAGTGTTATTATTCATTTTGTTACTTTCTTTTTTCTTTGTCGTTTTTCTTCTTAAATAGGGGAAAAGAGGTTGTGAACTGTTTGTGTTCGCAAGCCGTCTAAGTATTTGTGATGATTTTTTGATTTTCTTTAATTGTATAACATATCCCTAACATTAAATTAAAAATATTGGGTACCTACATCTAGAGCACATACAGATGTTTATAACATCTACGTGCTACAAAATGAATCTTGTTTAATGTGAATTTAATTAAAAGCAACTTCTTACAACTTATTGTGAATCAAAACTTGTATGTATTATCAAATAAATAAAATAAATAAATGTACCGTTTAGGTTCTACAATTTATTTAAATTCTGTGAATAGTTAGTAAATTATCATTCCCGAATCATGGTTTAAATTAAATAAATAAACTAAACAAAAATAACAAACAAGAAAATATTAAAGGTTGGTTGAGCAAGATCAAATTTATTATAGGATAATTTCTAAGTGAAAGAGAGAGTGTAAGCAAGTTTAAATGTTAGGAACAAAAACAAAACCTGGTTTGACCAATTATTTTTACTGAATTAGGATAATTGGCAACACAGAACCGAGAAGCTGGCTGTAGCCTTCTTTGTTCCCTGCATTTGAACTCCCCTTACTCTCTTTTACATCTAGGAAGTATCATATTCCTAGATTTGTTTTCAATTAATTAAAAACTTGATTAATTTTCATCAATAAATCCACAAAAACCATAATCAATGTTATCTAAAACATTCAATTGTGTATATTGCGGCAGAATCTTGAGAGGTAGGGATTGAGGAGTAATTGCATGGATTGTGATGGGATTGCAGCCAAGGGGTTATGGATTGCGGTGCGACTGCGACAGGATTTTTGGGATTGCAGGCGATTTTGCGACAAGATTACGGAGAGTGGTTACCCCTTAAAAAACCCCAATATAATTCACATAAAAAGATTTGTGAACGCAGCTTCATCTACACCATTTCAACCTCAATTGACGTTTTCAATTGACGTTTTCAATTAAAAGAGATGGACGATAAGCAGGGTTGGCATGATTTAAATCAAATGATTTAAATCACGATTTAAATCATGATTTAAATCAAGTGATTTTTTTGAAAAAAATCAATGATTTAAATCGATTTTCAGAAATTGAAAATCTATTTGTTTATTTTGATACATATACTGATATAAATGGGATAACCAAAGAGGATTTAGTGATTATTAACAAATTTCTGACTGCAATACCATCCTCGGCTGGGGTAGAGAGAGTATATAGAGAATATTTTCAACATACATATTATAATCTGCGATAATGATTTGAGAAATCGACTTGGCAATGAAAAGCCCGCAAAGCTGGTATATTCAAAAATCGGAATATTTTTTATATATAAGTATGTAGTATTATTTTAATTTTTCACAAAAGAATTATTTACTTTATTTTGACTTATTTTTTTTTTTTCTCTTTATGCACTAAGTTTAAGGGGCAGGGTAATAGATAGGTAGGTACCTTATCTACACCTCTACCTATCGAATATTTTTATTTATGTTTTTTATTTTTGTTTTCAGAAATTACCGTTTATTTACTATTTTGTTTGTTAAAACTATTTATTTATTAATAAACAATAATATTTTTATTACTCTATATACCTATTCTTATTATATACTCGTGGACAAAATTATCGTACCACTGCTTTTGTGGTGCTTATGTGCAGTGGTGCAGTAATTTTGTCTAGGAGTAGGTATACTATATTTACTGCATCATTCATTGTTGAAACTAAATTACCAATAATTGATCAAAAATTAATAAAGCCATTTAATTCAAAAAAATCAAAAAAATCCGATTTAAATCAAAAAATCTGATTTAAATCAAAAAAATCTGATTTTTTTGATTTTTTCAAAAAAATCATGATTTTTGCCAACCCTGACGATAAGTATGAAAACAATCATTTTCCCGCCAATATTTGCTTACTTGTCAGTGCCAGTGTGTATTGGGTGTTTTGAAAGAAAATGTGGGAAAAGTCACTATTTCATTTGCAGAACTTCGCTATGGAGAAAGCGGAGGATTATTTTGGAAGCAAACAGCTCCCGCAAACTGAACCTAAACGTGGATTACTTTGTTTACTTGATGGGCCGTGGATTTCCCTTTTTTTTGCGAGTATTCTTTCTGATTTTATGTATCCAAAGTTTGATAAATGTAGAATTTGATGTAAACTTATGGAAAGACACGTCCGCCGGTAAATAGGAA